CCAAAGACGGCTTTCAACCGGAGGATGCGCCTCATCACGGGGGACCTGACCTGGGACCCCGACACCAGCGAGGACCCCGCGCTCTGCTTCTGCTCCGTGGTCCTGGATGGCCCCAACCTGGCCCTGCGCCTTCGTCGCGAGCCGGGGGCCGACGGACCGGGCCAAGGGGTCGCGTGGGAAGGCTGGAAGGCAGGTCTTGTAGATACCCAAAGGTTCACTGGTTAGCCAACCCATTCTATACCCCCAACATTGCAAATCCTTGACACACATCGTTTTCCACAAAAGCCTTTGAGAGGCATGTGTGCGGGTCAGGTGGGGATGTGTTTGCCTTTTGCTCCAGAAGGAATCAGTTGGAGAACATCAAGATGGGCCCGATGAGTCTTGGGTTCGGTGATTTGTTGGGGTGAAAGGCCTTTTCGGTGTTTTTCAACAGCCCTCAACTTGCATTAGGTGTTGAAAGGAGTTGCAGCTGCGCCCCGAATCCATCGGCTCCAACCAATCGACGGCTGAGGCGCAACAACTTCGGGAAGTTGGCGTATAAGATGTACCGAGTCATCGACGACCAGGGCGCTTTCACCCCTTACTGGGACAACTTCACAGCACTGGCTGCAGAGAAGGGACACTCGGAGCTGAACCATATGGCCCCCCATATATGTTTTTGAGTGATGAGTTCGGTTTGGTTGTGATCACCCAGTTTGGTGGTGACGGTTGGCCCGCCACCTCCACCTGGAGCTTTTCGTGCCGGATTTGCAGGTGCTTTGGCCGAGCAAAATTTGTTGCGAACAAGCAGTTCCAACTGGTTCTGACCAATCCAGCCCCCATCCCCCCCCCAACTCCCCCCCGGTTTTCCGGAGACAGGAGACTTGGTGCTGATGTCTGAAACCTTGGAGCCGGACTTCAACTGTTCCGACGCCTGCTTCCGGGACGTGGTCTGGCAGATGGTCACGCCGGGGGCCCCGGAGCGGTTGGCCGGAAGTTTTCAGGTGAAAGCTGGGGGCGTCTCCAGCCGGGAGGCTTGCAGAAGGGTTTCCGGCAACGGCGTTTGGGGCTAGTATTGAGCGTTTTTTGTTTTTGTTTTTGGAGGCAGTCCTAGGGAAAATGTGTCGGATCCTCCTCGCCGGGTTTTTCTCAAGAATAAAAGATCTGAAGGGCTGTCTCTTTGTCCTGACAGCTTCGGGGCACTTATCTTTTGTCGGACCGCCGAACCATAAAGTCCTTTTGGGCCAAACTGCCCAGCCTGGGTCTGGGGTGGGTTCCGAGGCAGGGTTCCAGGCACTTTCAGGGGAGGTTCCGTTGGCCGAAGCTGGGGGGATGTTCCCTGGCTGATGTTGTAGTTTCCATTTCAGAAACCAATGCCTTTTCGTGCTTTTTGACATCATCTTCGGCTACGAATTTAAAGTGAGCTTCCACTCGATGGAATCCGCCCGTAAAAGATGCCGACCCGCCTCTCGCCCAAACGAAAGTCCCATCCAAGTTCTCTTCGTTTCTCTATTCGTGGAGCTTTGCTCGGCACCCAGCTCAACTTGAGAGGGCACTGCACTTTTTGTACGTAAATGTTCATCTCCCATGAGGGCACCTGCTTCTCCCGTCCGGGCGACTTAGAGGGACCTTTCTGAGTATGTGTTTGGCAGCTTGGCACACCCAGTGGATCCCAGTTGCCCATACAGGTAGCCAGCTATTTTCCTTTTAGTATTGAAAGGGTGGTTCCCTTGGTTGCCTATACAGGTAAATGGATCTGGGACAGTCTCCATACTTGTCAGCCGTCCAGACGACCCTCGAATATTCGGTTTCGCCTCAGAGACTTGGGCTCCAACGGGGCGCAAACTTACGCCGCCAATTTGGTCAAGTGACGTGGATCACCCTCAAAGGGTGCACCGCCAGTTGTTGAGTAAATGAGCAACCTATCCATTTTCTGGGATTCCTCACAAGGAGACCCCCAAAACCGAGACGCTTCAGGCTGTCTATCGCTCAGAAGGATGCATTTCAATTGTCGGGTGGGTGAGGTGGAACATTTGCTTGGCGCCCCACGCTCATCCAGCCAACCTTGCGAGCCTAGAAGCCGAAAACTACCCCTCCAAGCTGAACCTTGGATGTGCGTCTTGCTGCTACTGAGCCCAGTCGGGGAAGCTATGTTGTTCGTGATCGCGATCAAGGGCAACCTTCCGCATTTGCTTCACCCTCTAAAGGCTTGCAGACTCATCCCCCACACGTGTCCAAGGGAACCCCCTAGGCATTTCTGCAGTTCCATTCCTGAACTGTGCCAGTGCCTCAGACTTCTTAAATCGCCTTGTAAATTTACGTCCAAGTGCGAGTTTCAGTTGCCATCCCCGAGTATCCACTGCAGCATGTGTTGGTTTCACCCAAGACGTCCCTGCATTTAGCTGGGTCCGGCCGCAGGTCTTTAGCAGGCCCTCTCCTTCTCCTTGTCCCAAATTCCCAAGGCCAAGGGCCCGGTTCTCAGGCTGGGGTATCTCACGGCGGGCCTCATATCCACGACCTTGGCCTGGTGCGTGATCTGCGGCGTGGGCGCGGCGCTCTGGATCTACTGCCGCAAAGCCAAGGCCTCCCAGCGCCTCGGAAGAGAGAGCGAAGGAGCGGAAGGCGGAGGGAGAAACTTGCAGTCGGAAGGGCGATGGGCAAAAGTCGAGCCCCGAGAAAGGCGCGAGAGCCGTTCTGTGCTTTCTCTTTACCGTTGCCCCCATTGGCTTTGAAGCTGTGTGCATGACAGATGACTGGTGGAATACGGATTTCGGATTCCGCTCCAGAATGCTAAATTTGAGAATGTCACTTTGAGCCCAGAATCAGCCGACGGACGCCTTGACCTTTGATGTCCAATCTTTCGATGTCCAATCTTTCGGCCGAAAAAGGCACTGGTGTTGAATGGAAACACCTTCTCATCTTTCAGAAAACACAAATGTTTCCGTCCACTGGTTGGCAAGGGGTGTTTGTTACCAAAAACCTGTAGAGGCAAGGAGTCTTCCGATGTCAGGATGGCAAGTGCAGACCTTTGGACCGTTTGGGAGACATAGCCAGTGGATTCCCATCCATTTTCAGGCCAGACCTCTCCCAAAGTCTCCAATCCCCAGATGAACTGGACCTTCAACAGGGGTCACCTGTGCATTCAAGACCCCCGAAGGTTCTTCGTTGGGGAATCCGAATCCGACCCTTCAGCCGGACCCAGCTTTCCGGGGGCGAATGGATTTCGGGTGGTTACATGGGTGTGTTGTTTCCTAGTTGGTACCCTGTTTGGGGTTGCTTCAAAGGGAAACCAAAAGGACACCAACGCCCATTTGGGGTGCCTCTTTCTTTTCGGTTTTGGAGTTAAGCCAACCCCAAAAAAGGGTCCCCCATGAAAACAGCAACAAAAGACACCCACACGCACACACGCACACATACCCACATGACACTTGAGAGGTTTCTCTCTGGACCAAGGTACGACCCTCTGCCTGGCACTTGAAGCGATCCACGAATTGCGCGCGCCGATAATCAGCGCAGTAGAGTGCGCGGAGGCGTTGTAAAAGGGAACTCAAGGTATCATGCCTCCCAACCAGACATTATATATATACACACATATATATATATATGTGTATATATATATATATAAATAGAATACATGTACATATGTCAAGCCCCCCTCCAACACCTATATTCTCACAGACCCTACCAACATCTACTTGCTTCCTGTAGTGTCATAAATCGTTGCCAACTCGTGGGCCCCGAAGACGTTTTGGTTTCCGTGTGTTTGGAGGCTGACGTTAGACCACGGCAAAGGGCACGACATGATTTCGGAGACTCCAAAAGACGTTAGACAGCCGCAGCGTGCACTGCCTTTTGTGAAAAGGTTTGGCGTTTTCTGGGCTGCAGCCAAACTGTTTGCAAGTATGTCGGCTGACTGCGCGGCCAAGGTGCCACGTTTCGAGCCATTCGAAGCCATTTGCAATAATGGTGTGAGCTGATTTCGCAGAGGAGCTAGCTAGCTAGCCCAGGAAAAACAGCCACGTCCAAGGCAGCTTTGAAGGGGTGGCATGTATGCATAACACACACACACACACATAGTTGACATCCATGTGTAGATGCATTTAATACAATATATTTTATGCACTTGTATGCATGTGCAGAACTCATTGAACTGATGATGAAGGGACTGCTGACGCTTCATTGAGGGCCCAGCCGGGCCCTGGCAACGTGTTCCAGCGTAAATGCCTCGCACTATTTTGACACATTTTAGGTATTTCAACCTTGGCAGCAAAGCCTGCCCTCCGAAACGTCGGAAGCTATGCCTGGGGAGGCGCAAAGAGTTGCCCGAGCTCGAGCGCGTGGCTGGGAATAGGTTGGCTGAGTTTTCTCTTTGTTTCTTCCAAACACCTTCAAGAAGTCCCTTGGTCGCGGCTGTGGCATCAAGTCGCGTTTTTTTTTTTTGAGTGGCCATTGGAGATCAGGTGGCCACACCAAAGAGGCGTCCCCAGCATCACCCGAACTCGAGCGTCATGCTATTCTGGATACCAGGGGCGTCGCCTGCAAAGGGCTCGTCACTCTCAAAACCCTAGCTGTCTCACGTGTGGTGTGAGGCGGACGTTTGCTAGGGTGAGATTCTATTTGCGGGTGCTTTTTTACCAGCCAGGAAAACGTTGCGTTGTTCACTGCCACACCCTGAACAAACCTCAGGGTTGTTCAGGCTGTGCCCCTGCCTGAATTCGGGTTTCCTTTTGGTTGGTCAATGGCGTGGTTGAGATCTTCCACGCCCTACAACCTGTAGCGGCACGCCGCCGGTCCAAAGGCGTTCCTCAAGGCCCCTCTTCCCTTGCTGGTGCAAGAGGTAGGGAATGTGGAGTCTTGAATCCAGGCTTTGGTCCCCGAAAAAAGCAAACCACCAGTCGGATGGCTTTTTCATGTTTTTTCTTGGGATCATTCCATTTCTCATTTGCCCATCGCACCAGCAAGTTCCCACCTCCCACCTCTCGGCCCCCTCTCAGCAGCGCTCTCGAAGGGATCCGTACGAGGCGTGGTGAGCTCCTTCAACTCGGTGGACAAGCGCACGGCCCCGGTGGACCCCAAAGACCTGCAGGAACGAGAGATGTCCCTGGCTTTGGCCGGATAAATCGCCCCCGCGATTTTTGTTCACTTCTCCTTTTACATCTGTTTGTGTGGCTGTGTTTGGTTCCGGGTATCCATTTTGGGGCCGTTTCAGAGGGAAACCAACAGGAAACTATTTCCCCAAACAGTTTACTGTGAGGGGTTCTAAATTCATTTAAGGTGGCTCGCCTGTTGCCAAGCCCTAGCCTGGATGCCTGGCACAGCTCTCTGGGTGGACGGGTTCATTTGTCTCCCTGTGTCTCCCTTCATTTGTCTCCCGTTGTCTCCCCGCCTGGATGCCTGGCACGGCTCTCTGGGTGGACGCGTTCGTTTGTCTCCCTGGGTTCACTTGTCTCCCTTTGTCTCCCTTCATTTGTCTCCCGTTGTCTCCCAGCCTGGATGATCCAGTCTGGGTGGACGGGTTCATTTGTCTCCCTTTGTCATTTGTCTCCCGTTGTCTCCCAGCCTGGATGCCTGGCACGGCTCTCTGGGTGGACGGGTTCATTTGTCTCCCTTTGTCTCCCTTCATTTGTCTCCCAGCCTGGATGCCTGGCGCGGCTCGGGTTCATTTGTCTCCCTTTGTCTCCCTTCATTTGTCTCCCGTTGTCTCCCAGCCTGGATGCCTGGGTGGACAGATTCACTTGTCTCCCTTTGTCTCCCTTCATTTGTCGCCCGTTGTCTCCCAGCCTGGATCTGGCACGGCTCTCTGGGTGGACGGGTTCATGTGTCTCCCTTTGTCCCCTTCATTTGTCTCCCGTTCTCTCCCAGCCTGGATGCCTGGCACGGCTCTCTGGGTGGACGGGTTCATTTGTCTCCCTTTGTCTCCCTTGATTTCTCCCGTTGTCTCCCAGCCTGGATGCCTGGCACGGCTCTCTGGGTGGACGGGTTCATTTGTCTCCCTTTGTCTCCCTTCATTTGTCTCCCGTTGTCTCCCAGCCTGGATGCCTGGCGCGGCTCTCTGGGTGGACGGGTTCATTTGTCTACCTTTGTCTCCCAGGATGTCTGGCACCCCTTTGTTTCCCTTCATTTGTCTCCCGTTGTCTCCCAGCCTGGATGCCTGGCACTGTTTTTTTGGTGGACAGATTCACTTTTCTCCCTTTGTCTCCCTTCATTTGGCTCCTGTTGTCTCCCAGCCTGGAGGTCTGTCACGGCTCTCCAGGCGGACGGATTCACTTGTCTCCCTTGGTTCCCCTTCATTTGTCTCCCATCTCTGTGGGTGGACGGATTCATTTGTTTCCCTTTGTCTCCCTTTATTTGTCTCCCGTTGTCTCCCAGCCTGGATGCCTGGCACGGCTCTCTGGGTGGACGGATTCATTTGTCTCCCGTTGTCTCCCAGCCTGGATGTGTGGCACTCACGCTCCGCGGTTTCCTTCACTTCCCGCGGTTCTGTCCTTTTGGCGGGGTCTGGTTTGCCTTCGGCTTTGGCCCTGGCTTCGGTCATTCCTTGTCTTGTGGATGTTGGGGACAGGGTCCTCCTCTGTCTGCCCTTCATCTGGACTTCGATTTCGCTTGGGCTCGTGGTGGGTCGTCTTCCTTGTCTATCGTTGGCTACACCCTGTCTGTTCGTTCAGTGCCTCGTTATCAGTTGCGGTCCCGAGCTGACGATAGCGGTGCGCTGCGGTGCGCGGCTTCAGCTACGAGAAGGCTCTGTTAACCCCCCGGTGAAACAAACGTGAATCACGCTGGAGTTAAATCCTCTATCGATTCTTCGAGGATGTTCAACGAACCTTACGCTGAGATACCCAGTGGTGCTCTTGGCACCTGGGGTTGTCCCGGCTCTCCCGGCGGACGGGTTCATTTGTCTCCCTCTCCCTCCATTTGCCTGACGGATTCATTTGTCTCCCTTTGTCTCCCTTTATTTGGCCCCGGTTGTCTCCCAGCCTGGACGCCTGTCACGGCTCTCTGGGGTGGAGGGGTTCATTTGTCTCCCTTTGTCTCCCTTCATTTGTCTCCCGTTGTCTCCCAGCCTGGATGCCTGGCACGGCTCTCTGGGTGGACGGGTTCATTTGTCACCCTTTGTCTCCCTTCATTTGTCTCCCGTTGCCTCCCAGCCTGGATGCCTGGCACGGCTCTCTGGGTGGACGGGTTCATTTGTCTCCCTTTGTCTCCCTTCATTTGTCTGGCACGGCTCTCTGGGCTTTGTTTCCCTTCATTTGTCTCCCGTTGTCTCCCAGCCTGGATGTCTGGCACGGCTCTCCAGGCGGACAGATTCACTTGTCTCCCTTTGTCTCCCTTCATTTGTCCCCCGTTGTCTCCCAGCCTGGATGCCTGGCACGGCTCTTTGGGTGGACAGTTTCACTTGTCTCCCTTTGTCTCCCTTCATTTGGCTCCCCTTGTCTCCCAGCCTGGATGTCTGTCACGGCTCTCCAGGCGGACGGATTCACTTGTCTCCCTTGGTTCCCCTTCATTTGTCTCCCATCTCTGTGGGTGGACGGATTGATTTGTCTCCCTTTGTCTCCCTTTATTTGTCTCCCGTTGTCTCCCAGCCTGGATGCCTCTCTGGGTGGACGGATTCATTTGTCTCCCTTTGTCTCCCTTTGTTTGTCTCCCGTTGTCTCCCAGCCTGGATGCCCCTCTGGGTGGACGGATTCATTTGTCTCCCGTTGTCTCCCAGCCTGGATGTGTGGCACTCACGCTCCGCGGTTTCCTTCACTTCCCGCGGTTCTGTCCTTTTGGCGGGGTCTGGTTTGCCTTCGGCTTCGGCCCTGGCTTCGGTCATTCCTTGTCTTGTGGATGTTGGGGACAGGGTCCTCTGTCTGCCCTTCATCTGGACTTCGATTTTGCTTGGGCTCGTGGTGGGTCGTCTTCCTTGTCTATCGTTGGCTACACCCTGTCTGTTCGTTCAGTGCCTCGTTATCAGTTGCGGCCTCTCTCTGTCCTTGCTCGCATTTGGAGTCCCGAGCTGACGAGAGCGGTGCGCTGCGGTGCACGGCTTCAGCTACGAGAAGGCTCTGTTAACCCCCCGGTGAAACAAACGTGAATCACGCTGGAGTTAAATCGTCTATCGATTCTTTGATGATGTTCAACGAACCTACGCCGAGATACCCAGTGGTGTTCTTGGCACCTGGGGTTGTCCCGGCTCTCCCGGCGGACGGGTTCCTCTCCCTTCATTTGCCTGACAGATTCATTTGTCTCCCTTTGTCTCCCTTTATTTGGCCCCGGTTGTCTCCCAGCCTGGATGCCTGTCACGGCTCTCTGGGTGGACGGATTCGTTTGTCTCCCAGCTTGGATGTCTGGCACGGCTCTCCGGGCGGACGGGTTCATTTGTCTCCCTTTGTCTCCTTCTTGTTGTCCCCCAGCCTGGATGCCTGGCACGGCTCCCTGGTCATTCGCGGTGTATTCCGCGGGCACGCATGTGTGTTTGAGGCTCAGAAACGTGTGTTTGAGCGCGCGCGTGCGCTTGATCAAGCCACAGGCAGCATGCTGCGGATGCACGTACGAGTGCTTCAAGTAAATGATTGTGTGTTCTTGGTGTGTTCCAGCTGACCACATCGGCGCGTTCCAAGTGAACACGCACTTTTTGCATGTGACCACATGAGTGTGTTCCACGTCAGCACATGTTTGTGTTCCAGGTGAAAGCATGCGATTGTTCTGATAAAACACATATGCGATCCGGTCAAAATTCCTAGTAAGGGGGTTTAGTCTACAGAGGCCACCGTCGCAGTCACTTTGTGCAGTTTTTCATTCACACAAAGCGGAGTCCTGCAAATACCAATGGATTGCCCGCTCCCCACTGGAGGCGCTAGGATGGCGCTTGGTTTGCGCTAGGGTCTTCGGTGATCTTGGTTTCCAAGAGTTGGCGCGTGGGTTGCCGCGATGGGCTTTGCGTGGCTTTCAAGGGTGTAATGTTGCAGTTCTTACTTAGTACTTGAAGCCAGCCCGCACGTTTACCTTCATCTTACGTGGCCTTAATTTGTCAAATCCACACAGATGGTCGCCGTGACTCCAAAAAATACGGCGAACCCGCGCTAGCCGCGCGCTAGCAAGGCGCTAGCGCAGTGGTCAGCTGTGACCGGTTCCCAGTTACGCTTCAATCCAAATTTGCTTCCGCTCTCCTCGCATGCAATTATCATGGAGTGCGATTTGCTGGACAAAGGGGAGAAACAACGGCTGAGGCAAGACGGCAGGGATGCCTTGTACCGAGCATACGGAAGAATTGGGTTGCGTATTTCCCTGCGAAAGCAAATGCTTTACTGAATCGATACGAAGAGTTGCCACAATACGATCAAAGCACTTTAGCAATCGATACGAAAGACACTGTGCAGCTAAGCGAGAAAGAAGCGCAATGCGCCGGAAAGCTTTTGCTAAGCTGAAGCCTGTAACTGCTGGAGACGCATCCGATACTGATAGTACTAGCAGTAGTAGCAGCAGCAGCAGCAGCAGGCTCGCGCGCTAGCAATGTGTTGCAAAAAAGCTAGATTGATCGTACACGAACACTATTTTCCTACTTGGAACACGCATATAAAACACAAGCGTTGTTCAAGGCAGAGCCCCATGGAATAGCGCCTCACAGCCGGCTTCGGGAACTTGATTTATGTGTCGCCCAGGCGTGCAGGAAATGTAAATTCCATGTGAACACATTTTTGTTGTCCAGGTGAACGCATGTGTGTTGCACATTTGTGTTGCACATGTTTCTCCACATGTGCACACACGTGTGTTCCATGTGTACACATATGTGTGTTACAAGTCAACACAGAAGTTTGTTCTGGTTAAACATGCTTGTGTGATCCAGGTCTGCACCAGTGTCGCACGTGAACACAAATGCCTGTTCCAAGTGAGCGCATATATGGGTTCCAGGTGAACACATATGTGTGTTGCAGGTGAACAGAAATGTGCTTTCCAGACATACACACATATGTGTTCCAGGTGTACGCATGTGTGTGTGTGCGTGTTCCGGGCGCGCATATATATATATATATATATATGTGTGTGTGTGTGTTCGCGTGTGCACATATGTGTGTTCCACATGTACACATATGTGCGTTCACGTGCGCACATATGCGTGTTGCACGTGTACACATATGTGTGTTCACGTGTACACACATGTGTGTTCTTATCAGACACGTGTATGTGTTCCAGGAGAACACATGTTTGTTATCAGATGAACACGTGCGTGTGTGTCTGCTCCGCGTGCACTTTTTTTGTATGTGTGTTCACGTGCACACATTGTGTGTTCACGCGTGCGCACATGTGCGTTCCAACTGGACACGTGTTTGTGTTCCAGGAGGACACATGTTTGTTATCAGATGAACACGTGTGTGTGTGTGTGTCTGCTCCGCATGCGCATGTGTGTGTGTTCATTTGCACACATATGTGTGTTCCACGTGCACACATTTGTGTGTTCACGTGTCCACACATGTGTGTTCCAATTGGACACGTGTTTGTGTTTCAGGTGAATACATGTTTGTTTTCAGATGAACGCACGTGTGTGTGTGTGTTCCGGGTGCGCATATATATGTGTGTGTGTTCACGTGTACACATATGTGTGTTCACGTGTACACACGTCTGTGTTCCAATTAGACACACGGTTGTGTTCCAGGAGAACACGTGTTTGTTATCAGATGAACACTCGTGTGTGTCTGTGTTTTCCGCGCGCGCATAAATGTGTGTGTTCACATGTGCAGTACACATGTGTGTGTTCCACGTGTGCTGTGTTCACGTGTACACATATGTGTGTTCACGTGTACACACGTCTGTGTTCCAATTAGACACACGGTTGTGTTCCAGGAGAACACGTGTTTGTTATCAGATGAACACTCGTGTGTGTCTGTGTTTTCCGCGCGCGCATAAATGTGTGTGTTCACATGTGCAGTACACATGTGTGTGTTGCACGTGTGCACATGTGTGTGTTCACGTGTGCGCATTTGCGTCTCCCACGTGTACACATATGTGTGTTCACGTGTACACACATGTGTGTTCCAATGGACACGTGTTTGTGTTCCAGGTGAACACATGTTTGTTTTCAGATGAACACTCGTGTGTGTGTGTGTTCCGGGTGCGCGTATATATGTGTGTGTTCACGTGTACACATATGTGTGTTCACGTGTACACACGTCTGTGTTCCAATTAGACACACGGTTGTGTTCCAGGAGAACACATGTTTGTTATCAGATGAACACGTGCGTGTGTGTCTGCTCCGCGTGCACTTTTTTGTATGTGTGTTCACGGCACACATTGTGTGTTCGCGCGTGCACACATGTGCGTTCCAACTGGACACGTGTTTGTGTTCCAGGAGGACACATGTTTGTTATCAGATGAACGCGTGTGTGTGTGTGTGTGTGCTGCTCCGCGTGCGCATGTATGTGTGTTCATTTGCACACATATGTGTGTTCCACATGTACACATTTGTGAGTTCATGTGTCCACACATGTTTGTTCCAATTGGACACGTGTTTGTGTTTCAGGTGAATACATGTTTGTTTTCAGATGAACGCACGTGTGTGTGTGTGTTCCGGGTGCGCATATATATATATAAATATGTGTGTGTTCACGTGTACACATATGTGTGTTCACGTGTACACACGGTTGTGTTCCAATTAGACACACGGTTGTGTTCCAGGAGACCACGTGTTTGTTATCAGATGAACACTCGTGTGTGTCTGTGTTTTCCGCGCGCGCATAAATGTGTGTGTTCACATGTGCAGTACACATGTGTGTGTTCCACGTGTGCACATGTGTGTGTGTTCACGTGTGCGCATTTGCGTCTCCCACGTGTACACATATGTGTGTTCACGTGTACACACATGCGTGTTCCAATTGGACACGTGTTTGTGTTCCAGGAGAACACATGGTTGTTATCAGATGAGCACACGGGTGTGTGTTCCGGGTGCACATATATGTGAGTGTTCACGTGTGCACATATGCGTGTTCACGTGTGCACATATGTGTGTTCCACGTGTACGCACATGTGTGTTCCAATTGGACACGTGTTTGTGTTCCAGGTGAACAGATGTGTGTTTCACGTGAACACATTAGTATGTGCTAGATGAACTTTTTTTGGCATCTGACGACATATTTGCTCTCCAGGTGTGCACATGTATGCGCTCCAGAAAACGCATGATTGTTTTCGAGGTGCGCGCATGTGTGTGCGATTTAGGTGAGCATTTATGTTTGCTCACGTGTGCGCATATGTGTGTTCCACATGTACACACATGTGTGCTTTAATCGCACACGCGGTGTTCCAGGTAAACACATGTTTGTGTTCCAGTGGTATACATATGTGTGTCCCACGCGTACACACATGTGTGCTTTAGTTGCGCGTCTTTGTGTTCCAGGTGAACGCATGTGTGTTCCACGTGTACACACATGTGTGTCTGAATTGGACACGCGTTTCATGGTGTTCCAAGTGAACACACATGTGTGTTCCACGTGAACGCATTAGCGTGTCGTAAGTGAACACATATGTGCGTTCCACGTTTGCACATGTGTGTGTGCTTTCCAAGAAGCACATGTGTGTTTTCCAGCTCAACACATTTATGCGTGTGCCGCAGGTGAATGTATACTGTTTCAGTCGTATACGTATGTGTGTTCCACGTGTACACACATGTGTGTCTGAATTGGACATGTGTGTTTGAACTGCCCATGTGACTGCGTGCTTGCGCGGCCACACTTGCGTTCACGCGCGCGCGCTCGCCCGCCATCGCGCGCGCTTGCCCAACCTCAGTTCTGGCGCGGTGCTGAAGCGCGAAGCATGCCAGCAACACACGTGCAGCAACGCAACGCGCGCCAGGTTCACGACTGCATCATTTTGATTCATCCGTGTTGAAGCGCAGAAAGCCACAAGCTGTTGGCATGTTTGTGCTCGCCCGTCAGTCCTCAACTGTTTGGGGTCTCTGCTGGTGTAATTTTTCTTCTTCTCCTTACAAACAAATGAAAATAAACATAACATAAATTACATGTTTGTTTATCTATTGGGGCCCCCTTACTTTGAGATAGACCCATGTGCTTTGAAGTATCTTCGCTCGGTGTGCATGCAGGTTCCGACGCCTTTCTGGTGTGGGTTATGCCTCGGCTGGCCGTTCGGTTCAGTCCCATCCCAGGCAAAAGGGGTTGGTTTCCAAACGGATAGCGTCAGAGGCCATCCGGGGACGCACGCAAGCGGGTCCCTCAGCTGGGTGTGCATTGCCATGCTTGGGCTCCTGGTTTCCCTTTGGAACGGACCAATTTTTTCTACCATGGGAAACACGCAAAACAGACCACGGCACCTTCAGCCGCAGGAGGTGTACCAAGCGTTGACCCCTGCGCTGCCGCGGATTTTCAGCTCCGGCGCCATCTCGGTGCAGATGATCATGAACGTCTACCGCCAGGAGTATCATTTTTTTGGGGGACCCACCAAAATGTTTTTGTTTGTTTTTTCCAACCCAAAAAGAGGCTCCCTCCAAAAAAAAAGACGAGCCGCCCACATTGAACCCTCCCGTCGCTTCGCTTCCGGTGAAAAGGACGACCTCTTCTGCGCCTTCGCGCTGGCCCGCGTGGCCGCGGCCATGCGGGTGGACCACTTGGAACGCGCTTTGGGCCTCTTCGACTTGGCGCGGCGCAAGGTCAAGGCGCCTGGGGTGGCGCGGTTCGGCGCTGGAGAGGGAGGGAGAGGGGAGAGGGAGGCTTCTTGACTACTGGGTTGGATCTTTAGACGTTAACTTTTGGGGAAATCAAGGGCTTTCCACCAACCCCCCCCCGCCAAAGTTAAACTTTTTGCAGGGGGGTCGATAGCAACCAAGGCTTTCTGGGAGGATGGCGTGGCGTCTTTGGGTATTTTCTTGGATTTTCCATTGGACTCATTAATAGGCACCGAGTTTTTGAGTAAAGTTGTCATTACCCTTTACACTTGGCATACACAGTTGTCATGTCAATTCTGAAATTGCATTCCACTTCCTACATTCTTGACAAACTATGACCAGAGGGGAGCCATTCTCCAGCCAAAAAAAGGCTGCTCTCACCCGAGCGGCCCGGATGGAAGGCGATCGCGGCAGTTTTTCTTTGCCGTGAAACTTTTTTTGGTTTCCACTTTCCAGCGTTTGGCACAGCTTGGTTTTCTTGTTGTTAGCGATTTCATTCCTCTTCCACCCTTCCATCCCTTCTTTTGCCCCACCCTCTAAACTCGGCCTCATATTAATCAACCCCACATCATCAAAAAGGGGGGGGTGCTCCTCACCTCACCAACCCAGGGACACCCGGTTGATTTGTGGGGTCAACATCCACTCGCCCCTCCCATCCACCTCCCATCCACTCGCCTCCAGTCGCCGCCCTCACCGAAGCCTCTCAGGAGCCTCCGAAGCGCGAGGGGCTTCGGGACTTCCTCCCGGAGCTGTCGGTGCTTTCGCGCCTTGAAGTCGACGCATCGACGGACCCGCTGGCCGTTTCCGGGGTCCCGTTTCTTCCGGGGCCGGCGCTTATTCGTTTTGGGAAGGGAAGCTAAAAAGAAAAAGACAAAAAAAGCAAAAAACAACAAGAAACACGGAGCTCTTGTTAGTCCTTTTGCATTTTGCGCAGCTCACATACGCTTTTGCACTTTGAGAGTGGGGTGAACAATAAGACAAAGGTACATCGACCGCAACGTGGGGGTCTGCTCCGCGCTGCTGCAGCGCCTCGGACCAAATTGCATTTGGCCCTTTGGAGGTCTGTTTTGGGGTTGCTCTCCGTGTGTTGTGTTGGGGGGTGGCCATTGCGAGGGCAAGTGCGTGTTTCTAGGGGTACCTTCCCCATTCTTTCCAGGGATCCAAAAACCCAGGGGAAACAGCCGGTTTTTTCAAAAACAAGAGAAAAACACGATGGTTGAAAAGAATGGGGAATCAACCCCTAGAATGTTGACTCAGCCTGGCCAACTCTCGCCAACCAGAACGGGTCCACCCAGCGGAGGGTTGAGAATCTTTTTGACTCGGTGCGTGCCATGCTCCTTGCTAGACACAGCCAGTGAAAGCTGCGCCCGCCACGCACAAACTGTTAGTCAGGTGGAAGCTTCTGCTCAAATTTGTTTGAGCACGGCATGTTCGGGAGATCGCTACTCGAGTTTGTGGGTTTTCCGGAGGTCAGGGACGTGTGATGTTCCACACGCTTGCGAAGCATGACACTCGTCACGCAAGGATGGCCATTTTCTGTGGCAAGCTCTGGATGGATCTCGTGTGCCTTGCACCTTTTTGCCCGGCTGAAAGCTTCGGGATCTCTGCCTCAAGCTCCAGAGAGGTTGCGGGGCTTGGGCATCCCTGGGCTACGGTTTTGGAGGGGGGAACCTCATGTGATCCCCAGCCCCTCCCCTGGTTCGGTTCCCCCCCCTTCTGGGAGTTGTCTAAAGGGAAACGAGAAGACTCTATAGTTTTAAGGAGAAGCCTCCAGAAGCTTGGAGTTTGGCCATGGGTCAAATCCAATTCGCACCCCCAGTGAACATCCGATTCAATCCAACCACTAAAATAGGTCCTAAAATGGGTGGTGAATTCACCTACCAACCAAAATTGTATCCCAAAACGGTTTGACCACCGCCATTTGGGTCCCATTTCCCCTCCCCGGCGCCTGAAGCAGCGGCGCCGCGTTAGCGCACGCCTGAGGAAGTGGGAGGACGCGGCGCGGCTCTGGCGCTCCGCGCTGCAGCTCTTCCCGGTGAACGCCACAGCGCACTACTTGCACGGCCGCTACTGCCAGGAGCGCGGCGAGTGAAGCCACGTCTCAAAGTGGACACCTGGTATGAGTTGTGGGGCTTGTTCAGAATGGTGGGCCCCTTTTAACCTTGTAAGTATGGAGATTTGGATTTTCAAGGGAAGTCCCTGAACTGGAGCTACTTTCAGATCTCTTGGGTTTTGGGAGTCCGGTTTTAGTTTTTTTGGGTTGCAACTTTGTGGATTTTGCCATTTGGACCCGCAGCAAGCTGATTACACTTTTTGCAGAGGTTGTCTTTCTGTTATTTTCTTGGGGAGGGGGTCGGGGTATAGCAGCCGTAGAATGACCAGTAGCGACGTTCGGGTCCATCAAGGGTTTAGGGTCACAACTTTCCCATGGCTCACCTATGAATCAGTCTTCGCAAGCGGGAGACACCGGCTATGAGTATTTCGACAAAGGCGGATTCAGTTTCACATGGGTGCTGAACAGTTCGCGAAGGAGCACTTTGCCAACTCTCGGATTTGGCGAATCCGGCGCTTATCAAACTGCAAGAGCTGAGGGGAGGCCCCGGAAACTCGGCCCAAGCTGTAGCGCAGGAGGTGGGCAAGTACGACGACGGCGTGGAGCGCCCGGCGCGAGCGGGTTTATGTCTGGGTGACGCGGGTGGGCACGGCATGGAACGGAGAGCCAAGGAAAGTCGTTCATTGGGTTTCCACGCGTGAAGCATTCAAGTTGTGTGGCCGTGCTGTTTCTCAGCCAGAGGTCTTTTTCGGCCGTGGCTGTAGTCATAAAGGACACGGACATCATGGGTGGGTGGGTGGGTGTGGGTGTGTGGGTGGGTGGGTGGGTGGGTGGGTGGGTGGGTGGGTGGGTGGGTGGGTGGGTGGGTGGGTGGGTGGGTGGGTAAATCAAGCTTACTAATCCACGTACGGGGATAGCATGCAGTCAAAGGAGTTGGCACTCAACTCTTGGGAAATTTGAGTTGCTCTGTCACTCATACCTTTGCTTCCCTGCAATCAATATGTGTAAAACATATGAGGTGATTACCAGTAATCCCATTTGGGAGGGACTTGGGAGACTCACGGGTAATTTGTCCAGAGAACAACAGCGGCACTCTACTGTCCCATGTCAGTGCATAATCTACACCTAGCGGGGTTACCATTACCACCCCAGTTATCACTACTCTTTTTTTTCCATAGATTATTTAGCCCCTGTAAAGAAAACATTATTTTTCTTTAAATGACAATATGTTTGTCATTTGAATTATCAGCTTGTCTTGCTTTTGTTTTTTTGCAGTTGTTTCCATGCATAATCTATTATGTTTTGCACTGTTTTAAGGTTTTGTGCAACTTCAGGATCTGTTTCCGTCTCCATAATTTCATCAAGCTCCATCAAAAGCTCCATTTGGCTTAGACTATCCATGTTCAGGGAAACAAGTGAAATTTGATCGTCGTTTTGTGCATAGATGCATGTACACATCATATACAGCTGCAAGGTGCTGGCACGCATCCCGGCATTGCATTTGTGTTTCAAAGCAGCAAGGCAACTGCTCACTGCTCGCGCTTCCTCTTTCACTCGCAGCCGCGTGAGTGGGCCATCTCAGGTGCATGATGAGGGCCATCGCGCTGGATCCCGACTTCAAGCTGCCCTACCAAGGCGTGAGCTTCGGCGCGGCTCAATCACCGTCGACCGTGGGAAGATCAGGGGCCTGGGACGTTTGCAGCGTTTTTGGAAACCATAAGGGTTCCACTGAACATCATCTTCCGAACATGATCTTCCGACCGGAAACCAGGTAGGTTTCACGTGGACGGCTAGTTGATGTTTGTTTTCTTGACCTTGTGCCCCATGGAAGTGGAGGTGTGTGTGTGTGTCTGTGTGTGTTGAGGTGTCAGGTTGGCTCTGGCAGGTCCTCCACCAAGCTATCAGTGCTTTTTCTCGCCTAGGCCTCTCATGTTTGTAATGTTCAAGTGCCCATCGGCGGTCATCCTAGTGAGAAAGACATTGTTCAAAAAGAGAGACATGTGCTCTTAGGATGCTTGCCTTGTTCGTTGATGTTCAGGACGTGTGTGGTTTGCTTGCTTGCGACTACTTTTGAAACAAATGCCAGAATCATGATGTGCTTACAGCTTCTTGCAGAAAGCGAGCTGGCCTCAAAATTCCACCACCGCCGCCTCAGCAAAGAGTACACCCCGACCCCTCCAAAGAGTCACCCTCCCAACCTTTGGGCGGCTCCTCCCTTCACCCCCCCGGCGCCCCGGCCTCAACCCCGTTGCCATAGGTGTCCTTCTTGGTCGTTTTGCCGGAAAAATGGATGGCGATTCCTGGTTTACCTGGTTGAATCGTCTACCAGGGAAACCCATTTGTTTCCCCCAAAAGGACACCTGTGCCCGTTGCCCGTTGCCAGGGCTGGGCAACTGCCAGCTGCTGCGGAGGGACTTCGAGGGCGCCATGGCGGCGTGCTTGGCGTGCCTGCGGCGCCACCCGGACGCGCCCTTCGCGCAGTTCATCGCCGGCCAGTGCTCCTCGACCTGAGAGCATGCACCCCTCAACCCCACCCCATGTTGGAGGTAGGGCGTTTTTGGCAGAAGCAATCCGAAGTCGGAAGTTCGGAAGCTTAATTGCTTTGCTCTGAATTGGGGGATGCAAGTCCGGACTTATGTCCGAGGGCACGTTTCTTGGTCAACAGAATGCCCTGGAGAGGTTGAAGTTCACTCGGGACCTGTTTGTTGGTCGATTCGTGTTTTGCAAAAAGCCCAAAAGGAGTCTGATTACCTTCGGCGGGCTGGAACGCCCATGATTTTGGGGGGTTTGGACACCCTTTTCCGGGGTTTCTGGGTGCTCGGAAACCTGATTTCCCCAAAAAGAGTCCATTCAAGCTTTCCAAATGAAAGGTGTGCAGGTTGTTTGGGAATGACAGGTGGAGCTCGGGTATTTTGATTGGGGGGCTTTGAATGGATGTCCAAAGGGACACCCCCATGTTGAACGGACTTGGGGATATCCATGACTTTGTTTGGTAGCGATGTCAGGGTTCCCCTGCTGGTGGTTTTAAGCATCACATGTTTGGCCAAGTTGAAGTGAGCCGTTAGCGTCAAGCCTGCGCGTGGCATGGCTGCTACCCGCGGGCTCTGATTGGCGCGTGCCATGGACAAAAACTGTGCCAGCCGAGACGGCATTCGCCATGTGTGGCACACGCTGTGTGCAGCTGAATGGACATGCGCAACAGCCACATGCCATGCCGGCCAGGTGGTGAACCTGCATTGTGCCCAGGTGCGCATCTGCAAGGATGAGCAAGGCCGTGTGAAATGCGCTGCAAACCTGCAGATCCCCCGAGGTCAAAGGAACGCGTGCTGTTTTGATGCCTGCATCCCGTGTGCCGCATGCCAGGAACAGTGGAACCATCCGGCGTGTGCAGTGGTTGTCCGCGTGCCACAGGAATGCGTGGACTTTGTCTGCCGTGATTTGTGCTTCTCAGCAATTGGAGCGGTTGTTACATTGCCAGCATGCAACGAAACCAACCAGGTGATGGAGGTTGATGCCACCCCCCCGGGATCGATCGTACTCCCTATGTCCCAACTGTCTCCCAGCCCCCCGGTGTTGCATGTGGAGCTGTTTGCCGGTGGCTTTGCTGGTTGGAAACGTGCTCAGACGATGCTGGCATTCCATGGAGCTTGCACCATCAGGTCCTCGTTCGCCGTTGAGATCGATGAGCAAACTGCCAATGTGTATGCCGCCAATAACCCGTGCCACCGAATTGGGCCTGACCCAGGCTCTTTCCGCCCTTGTGAGGTTGCTGCAAGATGTAAGCGTGGCCAAGATGTTCTCTACAATGGTGAGGTTCAGGACAAGGCTTGGCTCCTCTGCATCCCTGATACAACCATGCAAGTTTGGTCGGTTAGTGCCCCATGTGGGCCATGGAGTCGAGGTGGGAAACGTGAGGGACTCGCATGTGCTGCCGGTAGGTTGTTTGTTGAGACTGCAGTCCAAGCCAGGTGGCTTCGACCTCATGCCATTGCAGCTGAGAATGTTGATGGATTTGAGGATCATCCTCACCACGATACCGTGCTCAGGGCATTCCGTTGGGCGGGATACCAACTGCATTGGAAGTCTCTCAGTGATATGCGCAGTGTCTCCCCCTGCACCAGGAAGCGGTGGTTATGTGTCTGGGTCCGCGATGACTTGCTGCCAGATTGCCCAGGCACTGTTGAGTTGGTCACGCTTGAGGCAAATTCCCTTTTGGGGTTCAAATGTCTCTTTGACCTCCCCACTGCCTTGGAGCGCAACCTCACCTTGGACAGTGAGCTTTTGGACATTTACAGCGACCCATTGTTTCTTCCAGGCCCCAAGACCCGTGCTGCAGTTGAGATGTCACGTGCTAGTGTCCTCCAGAAACGTGTCAAGTCCAAGTGCGGACCCATTGGAACCATGACAGCCAGCTACGGTATCCAGCACCAGCTTGATAGTGAGATGCTTGCTTCCAAAGGGATCTATGCACAGCTTATCCAAGGAAACTTTGGCCCCAGGTTTCTTGCCCCTTTCGAGATCGCTGCCCTCATGTGTGTGAATACCAGGTTCACGGTCCCGAAGAACCCAAGGATTGGCCACAAGGTTGTTGGCAATGCCATTGCAGTCCCACAGGCAGCACTTGCCCTTGCCATGGCCTGTCGTGCCGTCATCCCTGGGTGCAACATTGACCCCCAGCACTGTGCGCTTGCATGTGTTTGTGATAGGTTGCACAGTGCCAATGCTTGGATACTTGAGGATGCCGCGTGCTATACCCTCCACCAGAAGGTTGTGCCCCGATGCGTTGCTAACCCCAAGCCTGCCAGGAAGCGCGCCCGTGTCGTCGTCAGTGAGCACGCGTCTGCGTCCTCCGGCATGAGTGAGCTGTATCAAGTACCGGGCCCCCCCGCCTGTTGCCAACGAGATGCGCCCCGTGAGCATGTTGGGCCAGTAGGTCATCAGCCCAACCATTGGACTAAGGCAGCCGGCGCTGAATGCGTGCCTCCCACGTGTGGTGGTGAGAGCTCAGAGCTTGCCAAAACGGTCCCAGTAGGTGTCGGGGAAAATTTCGTGCCCAACCCTGCGGGTAGTTGTGATGAGTTATCGCCAATCGTTACTGTGTCCTCTCAGCTTACCCTGTGTAGCGATCCCACCCATGGCCCAGACGATCGGACCGCTGAGCCTCAGCACTGTGCCTCGCTTGTTGTGCCCGAGAGTGAAGGGGGCATTTCGCCCACCCTGCAATTCCAATGCACCATCATCCTCGCGTGCCAGTTCTACCGCTCCTTGCCAAGGAAAGATGGAACAGCCCAGTGTCGCCCGGCCACCCTGGTTGTCCCTGCCGGCCTTACCATTGATGAGGCGTTCCATTTGCATGGGTTGGACGCCTGGTCCCAGTACATCATGCTTGACCATTCTGGAATGCCTGTTGCGACCGGTGCCCAAATCCAGACGGACACCTCCATCACACTTGTCGAGCCCACTGAGCAATTACGGGAGCTTGCCCGTCACGGCGCTACATGGCTCCCAGCAATTGATGGCAAGCCTGTAGGCCACTCCCTCGCCTTGTACCTCCCGGCTGTCGGTGGCGCTCTCTTACACCTTTTTGACCAAGTTGGGAGTGAAGTGAACGTGTCCACTGTGTGTGGCGGCCAGTCAGCAATCTTTGCCATCATTTTCCCATGCAAGCCCACTGTGACTTGGCACCGGGATGCCTTTTCCAACAAGTTGTCCGACCTTGACTTGCCCAGCAAAGTGAATCTCCCTCGATTTGAGGTTGACCGTGATGGCATTCGGTTCATAGCCACGCACAAGCATGCCTCCGAGCAGTCTAGGAGCGTACTCCGTCTGATCGCCGACATCATCCCTGTCATTGATGCTGCAGGGTGGCAATGGGTATCCCCCAGTGACCGAGTCCCTTTGGCACTCGGGTCATTGAAGCCGGTGCACGCACGGTCAGCCCCTGTTCACTGTGTTACCATGCTCCTTGCAGCACACATCATCCGCGGCCACATGACTTCCTGCCAGGTTGTGCATGGTGAGCGTGTCAAGTTTAAACTTGAAGGTCGAACTGTTTGGGATGGTGTGCTTCCGGGCTCCCTGAAGTGCCACTTTTTTGACCAAGTAGCCACCTTCGCAACCACCTGGTGTGCACTGCCAGCCATCGCAATTGTGCACAACGCCAAGCGCCTTGACCTGTCCAGCACTCTTGGTGAGCTCAGGGGTCCCCATACCAGTGGCCCAACTGTTGTTGCCGCAATGTGCCGCACACAAGGAGGTGGAGCCAAGAATGAGACCTATAAGCATGCCAAAGCAGCCCTTGCAAAGGAGCTGTTAGACCATGGATACCCCGTCCAGGTCATCGAGTCCATTACTGCCGATTGGATTACCAAAATCGGAGTGAATGCAGTTGCAAGAGCAACCAAACTGCGTGATCCAGACAAGCGGTGGGCTGAGCTCATCGAGCTTGCCAAATGGCATGGGGCCTCGCTTGAGGCAAATGAGCAGAACCGGCAGCAAGCTGCCAAGGTGATTCAGGCAGCCGTCCGTGTAGCCCAGCGCCATGAGCCATCCGTAGAGGATTTCCGTCTTGTCCCTGGATTCTTCACGAATAAGGACAAGTCACCCGCGGTCATCCTTTCTGGGCCTTCTTGCGGCCAACGTGGAGTCGCCCTCGTAGATGCTGAAACAGCCACCAACTGGCTCTCGCGGTCACGGCCCATTGTGACCGATGAGTTCGCCCTGGTTACTTTGGGGCGCCAAGAATCCCTCGAGACCTTTGGGCCGGCCGAGATCCATTTCCCAGCATGTGATAAGCAGGACCGTGAGGTCCTCCTTCGAGGGTGCCTTTGGCAACTTGGAGAGTCGCCGGTCTTGACTTCAGTTGCTAATCACACCATTGACACCACCAGTACCATCACAGCCTCCTTCACAGCCTGGGCCGATGATTTCGAGCCAGCCCATTGGGGCGAAATCGTCACTGGCATGGTCAAAAATGCCCTAGCGTGCTTTGAGGTCCCTGACCTTGCAGGCATCATTCATGTGTGGGGCCGTAGCGCTCGAAACAAGGCAGGAAAGGTTGACTCACGTAACGCTGCCTCCATTCAGTTCCATGCTTCGGTTGAGACCAAGTTGCATGATGTGCTCCTTGCCAAATCCGGGTTTTGTCGCATCTTCATGGTTCCCAAATGTGAAGCTGGCCTCAGCCACCCGGACTGGTCGTTGATCTGGCTGAAGGATAGGGTAGAGTGCCAGATTGCGTCCACCAAGTACCCAGCCCATTCCGGTATGGCCCGCGGTAAAAGCAGCTTTGCGCTTCGTGTCAAAACCAGCCAGCTCACCCAGGCATGTGCTGCCATCAAGCCAGGAGTTGATCTCGCCGATCACATCTCCATCCGCAAGCTGTATCGCATTGAGCCGTTGCCGATTGGAACCACCCAGAAGCAGGTCGTTGAGTGGGCCGAAGCCAACAAGTGGAAAGTCCGCGTTGTCCGATCCCTTGGCAAAATGGCTGTTTTG